AGTAGAATAGTAGAATAGTAGAATAGTAGAATAGTAGAATAGTAGAATAGTAGAATAGGCCAGAATCAACAGTAGACAGAGCCATCCACACACGAAACTATGCAGACTATACATACACATATGTACTGCTCTAGTTCACGAACCATCTGCCTGCCTGCCTGCCTGCAAGTTACAAAACGTTCTCGTCCATCGCAAAGGAGTATGACTATCTAATGAGAAGGGAGGATGGGTGGGGTGTACCGCAAGAGCGGAGAGGAGGCCGATGCACAGTACAGAACAGCACAGTACGTACGTAGTGTCTAGCTAGGGCGGCACACACCGAGAAAGTATTTTCCGGGATGGCTGCTGATTCGATCGATCGAATGACATGGAATACCAAGCTTTTTTTGCACCTGATACCTTGTGGGGGAAGGCGGGGCAAGGGGAAGGCGGGCATGAGGTACGTCTCAGACTAAGTACGATTTCTACATGTCCAGCCATTGAATAATCCAAGACGAGGATGTCCGAGGCAAGAAGACTGACTACTGGTTCATGGTGCAAAGATAAATCTTCTCATTTTTTTTTGTGGGCACAAGATATTCAGATGCAACTCTGTCATCGTACGTGCATAATTTTTAGAATCAGTGGCGATCATATTTGCTTTGCTTTCAAGACACGCGATCAAGCCCAGGGCAAAGGGGGAAACGAACTGCACACGGAAGAGACAAGACGGTCCGACTACCTTTGGGAGATGTTGGAAGGGTGCGGAAAAAGGGTTTCCTGGGGGAGACAGGGCTGGAAGGGAAAAGGGAGTGAGGAAAAGATTAAGATAGATTAACGGAACACATAGTGTCAATTGTGAGCGAGTTAATAAAAAAAAAATTTTCGTTTTTTGGAACCGGGTAGAGGGGGTGAGTTATTTAGTTAAAATAAAACACGCGCACACACGCAAGATTTCTTCGACATGGGACATGACGGTGTTTGGGTTAGGCATGAACACATTTATTTGCCACCAAGGCTGGGGAAGTTCTTCTCGTCGACGGTGACGGAAGCGCCGCTGGTCGCAGCACCGCTGGGGCGGGGAGCGTTGGTGTTGTTACCACCACGGCCGCCACGGCCGCCACGGCCGCCGCGGGCACCACGGCCACGGGGGCCGTTGGCGGCACCACCGCGGGGGGCCTCAACGAAGCGCATGTCAACCTCGAGGACGTTCTTCTCCTTGCGCTGCTTCTCGCGCTTGGACTTCTCCTCCTTGCCCTTGATGTAGGCCTCCTCCTCCTCGCGGGGCTTGAGCTCCTTGGCGGCGGCCCACTTCTTGTCGAGCTTGGAGCCCTCGTTGGCGGCACGGACGGGCTTGGCGCTCAGGTCCTCCTGGGCAGCCTTCTCGACAAGGTAGTCGGCGAAGGACTTGGACTTGTCGACGGGCTCCTCCTCGGCGGCGGGAGTCTGGGGCTCGTTCTCGTCCTTGTGGGCGATGTCCTCTCCGGCCTTCTCATCGTCCCAGGTCTTGTCTCCGCTCTGGTTACCCCAGCCCTGGTTCACCTGCTTGCGGGTGTCGCTAGAGAACGCATCGAGTTAGTATTTCTGTATGATCCTCTTCTCCGCTCAACCGTGGAACTCTGGAATAACGCCCGCACAGACAGATCGCTGGCGGCAGTGTGTGCATGGAGATCAAGATGGTTGCTTACGTCTGGCCGGTGCGGGACTGGCGGTCGTGGCGGACACGCTCACCACGCTCACCACGAGCGCGGAAGCCGTGGCGCTGGCCCTCCTTGGGGTCCTCGGTGGCCTTCTCGCGGTTGTTGGTGCGGCCGGCGTTGCGGTCGCGGAAAGCTATCCGATCGGAGTCAGCCGGGGGTGGAATTGCTGCGGAGAGTGAGACATGGTCATGAACGTACCGGCCTCGTTGCCAGTGGCACGGTTACCACGGCGAGCGTTGTTGTTCTCGGCACGGGGCTGGGTGCTGGGAGCTTCCTTGGGAGCTTCGCGCTTGCCAACACGGGGAGCAGGTCTGTCTACAGCCCTCGTGGGAGGCTCAGGCTCTCTGTTGGGGTCCAATTCAGGATCATTGCCTGTAGTAGCGAAGCGCAAGAGCACGCAAGAGGTTAGAAATTGATCGCTTCGTCATGATAGGCAGATGGATGGATGATGTAGATGGATGGCAATGCGGATGGAACCGCGAGTCGCGCAAGGGTATGTTGCAAGTGAAAGCAGCACAAACGAGGGTGGATGGCAGGAAGCAGCAGGAAAGAGGGCGAGAATTACCAAGAAGCTCGTAGAGGTTCTGTGATCACGAAGAGATATGTTAGCTGGGGACATGTTTAATCCTCGATGATGGATGTGGTGAGTGTTCTTTGTGATGTGTTGGGCGCTGGGCAACCAAATTGGACCGAAAGCAACCTCGTCAAATCCCTCGCTCACAACCCCGCTCGCTCGCTCGCTTCCCACTCAGAAGACCTCCCCAGCTCAATTTTGCGGCCCAGGACCTCCCGAGACGAGCAAATTGACGCGGAATTTGGCGGTGCTGGCTTCCAATCGGCGCGGCAAACGATGAATGACGATGGAGTGTCGCGAGAAGTCCTCCTCCTCCCCTCGACGTAGGGAAAAAAAAACGCACCTTGGACCGGACGTCCGCCATGACGCCTGGTTTTATGCGGGGCCTTCCGGGGAAGGCTCTGGTCTATCACAACAATTCGGGTCCGACTGAACGGGTGACGGATGGTCGACACAGGCAGAAACCTAGACGACAGTAGGTATCCGGCCTCTCCTTTGGGGATGGGAAATGGGATAGGGGAGATAGAGAGGATAGTGGTTGGAGTGAAGGGGTTGATTGACTACGGTGGATGGAGGCAACGTTTGTGGTTGCACTCGCCCAATCCGGTAAGGTGCGGATTGCTGCTAAGCGAATTCGGCAACGAGCACTATGATTGGTTGAGGGAAGCTAGGGCTTAGGGTAAACGGTCTGCGGATGACGCCCTGATGATGAGATGATGCTCATTGCTCAATGATCACCTGGAGAGCTGCTCGGAAACATACGAGCTGCTGGCCGAGCCCATTGTTCACTGCACAGCTGTCATCATCGCTTACGGGTGAGGCATATTCATGGACTCGGGTAGTGCAAGCTGCTTGTTGGCTAATAGGTAGAGCTTGACCAGCATCAAGGCTGGTTTCTCAGTAAGCGACAAGAGCTCTCTTCCCGACTCGGGAGTAGATAGAACCCTCCTCTCTACCTAGTAGTCCATCTATAGCAATGATTGAACCCCCTCCCCTCCCCAGAGATTCATCATTGGATGCAATTTCCCCAGTCACTCGACTAGTGATCCTGCAAAGAACGAATTGAAACCGTCCACTATTCCGCTTCTGTATGGTCGTGGTCAAATTGCTCTGCCATTGGATATTGCTAGCTGAGCAATGCTGTCATTGTCCGACACGGGTAACTCACGTGATCTTCCACCCATGTGACCCCGAGCTCACCTACACTTACTCCATGACGCATTCAGGGCGCTGCTGGAATTGACTTGCTCGAAAGCAATCGCACTTGGACCCATTATCAAACATGTTCATAAGAGCTGAAAGATGGCCCCGATGCAGCTGCTCGGCGACCCGGTCATGCATGTACAACGAGCTAAATATAGACCAAGAATAGATGTGCCTCACATGAACCACTTTCTTTCGACGCTGCTTTTCTTTTGGAAATGGAAAAATCATAGAGAATACCGACCGCGACATCAAAACGTCAGAAACAGCAGTGAAACAACAAAATCATATGGTATCAACCGCAAAACGCCAGGCAATGCTTCGAAGTTTCAACTTTTGTCTTCCAGTCATAAAGGTGCTCGGGGGCACAGCCAGGGAAAAGAAGCCTGGCTCCATCCTCGCGAACATCACCCGTAGATGAGAAGTCGCACACATGCAACGCATGGAAAGAAGCAAACATAGGAAACAGCAACTCAATGACGCGTATTATTTTGTTCGTAGCTAAAGGGGGTTTGGAAGTGCATGCTGGCGCTGAGCCCAAACGGATCGGCATCCAGCATGGGTTCATAATTGCCCAAGATATGATTTGAGGAGGCGGCCGGGGCGTTATTGGTGCCATACGCGCCATTGGTGCCTTCAGCAGCATGCGGGTGATATTGATTGAGACCATGCTGTCCCATCGGATGGGCGCCCTGAGCCACGGAACCCGGGTTATTGTAGCCAGACACATAGGACGAGGCCCCTACAGCCGACTCATGCTCGTCGTCGATCATGTCTGCCTGGGCATCATATTCTTGTTCTATGGGGTGGTTAGTGCCAAATTGACAAGCTCACAATCAGATATCTTACCTAATTGATCGTAGTGCTTCTGGAAAGGAGATGGATAGTAGGCCGAAGGAACACGAGGAGCACGAGGGCCCGCAGCACTTGGAAGAGCAGACTTTGGCTCCGCCGTATCTGGCTGACCGATGCTCATTGGAGGAGTCGTCTGGCTGATATTTCGCGAGTGGGCGATCATGTGCGAACGTTGAGTGTGCGGATCAACCCCAGCCGGGGACATCGCACCTTGAAAGGGGAAGGCGGGCGACTTGGCGTGGGATGGGGAAGAAGCATGCGAGGGAGGTGTGGCCTGATACTGGGGCGAAGGAATGCCATATGCGCCATCGCGATGCTGAGACATGCCAAAAGGTTCCTTGGGGGCGATGCCTTGGGGATGCCTTTGAGCGGAGTTGCGAGTCACAGCAGCGCGCTCCAGGGCGGAGGGAGGCTTGGTTGTCATCAGGTTGGGCTTCGCCGGAGCCGTACCAGGAGCCCCGGCCTTGAGTCGCAGTTCGGCTTGGACATCAATGCCTATGAGGGGTCAGCATGGCTGAGACAAGAACAACCTTATCGGAAGATTGGACGCAAAGTTAAGGACACCGACCTTTTTCGAGGAGGATACGTTCCAGTAAGGAATTCTTATATCGCAACATCAAGCACTCATCGGCTGCAGTGCGATGATTCTGCTGCAGCGTCTGGAGAGACTCCTCATTGCGCTTGATCGTCGATTCAAGCTGACGGATGTACTCTGTGCGACGCTCCCGGAATGCAGCCTGGGCCTGGCGATTGCGTTGCTTTCGCTCTTCCGAGGTAGCGTAGATCTGATAAGGGTCGGGTTAGTCTAGTGAAGCTAAAATGCAGCAAGATAAGAAAGAAGGAATCAGGAACGAACAAGGGGGGTAAGAATGAGATAAAGCAGGTGGAAGGGGAGAGTAGGTGCATTGAAAGATAAAGCAGGAGGGCGAGGGAGGGATTTGACAGGACGATAAGGGACAGAAGGGAAAGGTGATGATAATGATAAATGATAATCGTGCGGGGCCCCGGACTGGCACGCAGGGTGACCAACCCAGAGAGATAAGAGATGAACCAGAGGGGGGAATTTGGAAATTATAAAAAGGGAGCAAAGGGACTCGTCGCTCAGAAGATCAGATCAGTTTTCTTACGTACAGGCTTTCTTCCACCCTTTCGCTTTTGTGTCTGGGCCACATCCTGGGTTAAGATCTCGCCATCCGCCTCAGGCGTGGACACTGCCGAACTGATTGAACCCTCAGGCATCGGCTCCGACTTGGGAATGACCGGATCCGTGGCCGGTTCATTTTGAAGAGGATGACTGGTGGTCTCAACCATAGAGACCATTGGAAATTCTAAAGGAAAAGGGGGGGAAGGACTTTTGATGTCTTGTCCCCCTCTTCCGTGAAATGATTCTTTGCCTGGCTGGAAATTGCCTTGAGGGTTTGGGGGAAGGGGAAAGGAAATGGGGAGATTTCCTTGGACAGCGATGATGTGCCCCCCTTGCGTTCTTGCGTGAGTTGGTGGTGGGAGTTGACGGTGGTATTGGATGAGTCACCCAACAGAATCCGGGGTTTGGCTGATATAACCTAAAAAGCCAAAGGAGGGGAAAAGAGGAGAAAAAGAGGGGAAACTTTTAGATAATGGAAAAATTAAGGGGAAAAAAAAGAGTCCCCCCGGAAAGAGAACAAGGCAAGATGACAGATCGAAGATCAGATACGTCTCAGGGACGAACCAACAAACTTTGACCTTCTTCACTCTTCACAGGACACGATGTTCACCAAAGCTGGGGTAAACGCGGTGAGAGGCGTTTTAAGATTAGATGAGATAATGGGGATGTCTCAATGAGGTAAAACACGCCAGTGTTGAACCACTTGATAGGGAAGAAGATTGATCCCGGCGGGGAAGGGCTGGGCTGCTGCTGCTGCGAGGATAGTACTGAGCAGTAGTTCAGACGCAGCAAACGCGCGGATGGGCGGCAATTAGGGGAGGAGGGGGGGACGTGCGAACTCAGGCTGAGGGTCGCAGGGAGTCCGGCGGAGCAAGTGACATAAAAGAAATCGGAACAGTGGTGAGAGATAGCCAGCGAGCGTCGGCAGGCAAAAGACGTGGTGGGAGGAAGGAGAAAGTGGGAAAGGGCGAGAAGGTGGGAAGGTGGGAAGATGTGAGGTAAAATTATTTACTAACAAGAACGGGGTAGACCTTAAGAGGGCAAAGCATAAGAGCGAGACTAGTAAGTCAGTAGTCAGGGAAAATTTGGAGCAAAAGGAAGGAGACAGAAGGCGTGGAAGGGTTAGTATTGGAAGGAAGCAAAAGAAAATGTGGAAAGAGAATAATAATTAGAAATAAAAATAAAAACAACTCTCTCATCATCTCATCTGATCATTATTGCTACTTCTACTCATTCCTTCCCCTCTCTTCCTCTCCTCTTCTATCTCCTGACTCTATAACCTGCGTTCCTTCCTTCCACTGTAAAAATTTTCACTGTCTCTTGTTCTCTGACACTTTCCTCGTCAAGATTCCCTTTGGGGGAAATCCAGACAAACCCGTGCGACTGGCCTTTCCAGGGGAAGGAGGGCGACGAGGGAAAAAAAAAAGTGAAAAAAAAAAACCAGGAACAGACGATCCAATCAATTCTGACCCCCCTCCTAATCCCACTCGGAGGGGTTTGCGCTGAGAGACAATATCGACTGGGTTGGTAGTTTCGCCGCTTCCACAAACTCTGGTCGGGGCTTGTCTGACGGCCACCAAGTGGATAGGAATGGGCTTCCGTTCTACTACTTTGTTTCAAAGCATTCTCATAAATGATTGGTAACCTCCTTTTGAAATGGAGAACTATACCTATGAACTACCACTACGACATCCTCATCCACGCAGGAGAGTGGAAACTTCTTCCCTCGTTGCTGCGCTCTGCTCACTTCTACCTACCGAGTAGCTAAGGTGATTTCGGAACAACTGGCAGCATATTCGCTCATTTACCCTCACTGGCTGGCAGCGGCACCACTTCCCAAGCGAGGGAGGAAGTATCCACCGCGAGGTTCTGACCCAGCCGAAGATCCGCCCAAGGTACGGACGGAGTGCGCCAGGCGGCCAGACAATCAAGCGAGCACACCCAGAAAGGACAGAGAGACAGCAGGCAAGCAAGAGCCAGCAACTTGCGCAGCAGCGAAGTCCAGATCGTCTCCTGACTGGCCACCAGCTCGTCCGCCCTGCCCCATGCAGGGCAACGGGTGGAGAGGGGGGGAGGAAGGAGAACGTGTCGCGCGGTCTGACGCTTTGGATCGCGGTCCGCGGAACTTGGGATGATTGCATCAATGCTTTTGTTCGAATGTTCCATGCACTCCGTCGTCATCCGATTGTTCGTCACACTGGCGAAGGTTGTAGCCCGTAGGTAGGTAGGGTTTGCTTGCTTTTTCTGCTTTGCTTCTTTCCAGACCAGAGGATAGTAAACCCTACAGACGCCATCTGACAGACCATGATGGCTGTTGGCTGGGATGAGGGGGGAAGAGAGGGGGGAAGTTCTTTTCCTTCTGGTCCACAGCCCGCGGAGATGTTCCGGCCGGGCAACAAATAGTACGACCACATTCAATAACCAGCGGATGACGGTCCGGCCAGAATTTTTCGTGGGTTCCGTTGGGGCGGAATTCTTGTCCTCTTGCGTCGACCTGTTGTGGTTTGTACTGTACTGTACCTCGGTTGATTGAGAAGCGACTTGCTCGATCTGAGAAGTCAATTGCCTTGTCTGACGCTTGACATGCCACTGTCATGAAGCAACCAAACGAACCAAACACTCGTGACCAAGCCTGACGAGGATTTTCCCTGCCTCCGCACGGGCCGGGGTCTGGATGGCCTGGTGTGCTTACCATACCATACACGGTCGACTAAATTGCCCTTGTTAACCAGGAATGACGACCTGCCAACAATTCGCTCCCTAGACCTAACCAACATCAATCTGCCATGAAAGTGCATAGATGAGAGCTTGCGGCATAAGCACTACTGCTACTCACTTTCTCGAATGCGACCAGAAACCAGACCCAGGTCGGACTTTGCCATCCCCCAAGTGTACCGGTACAGTACACATTAGGAGACCTCCGATAGGAGTCTGTTTGTGCAGGCCGAGGGCCGGCCCTCGCCTACTACCACGTACTGTTCATACAGTACATACAGTACAGCCTTTTCTCAGATCTGCAACTCCAAGATGTGGTATGTGGAAATGCCCGCGGCTACTACAGGCCTGGCAGTCCGGGGAGGGATCATCATCACGAGGTGCAAGCCATGAGATCAGCTGAGGGTTTGGCAACAATGGATGGGCTGATGGCAGGGCAGCAGGCATTTCACTTGATCCTTGGCATCGTGAGCGGGAGAGAAGAGAAAGCGAGCTGGCACTCTTTCTCCATAATCGAACGACAACAGTAGAAGTTAAATCAAACCCCTGCAGTCGTAGTCGAGAAAGCAGGACATGCACCTGTGTGCGGTTCGATTCTGGGGTTGCGGTGCACGGCTTTGTGACTCTTTCCCCAGGAACTTCGTAGAAAGTAAGAAGGGCCTCTTATGTCATACGTATACTTAGTCATTTTTTTGTGGCATTCGATTCCTCGCATTCATTCCCATAGCACCCTGTAAGAAACGATCAATGCTCGAGTCTTGTTGCCTTGCAGTTGCAGAGGGAACGCAGGTGGTGGGGTGATAACATCAATTGAAACCCACTCAATACAGGATAAATCCCCATTCAACCCAACCCAGGTTGTTCCTGACACAATAAAGAATCTATCCAACTGACATGGTCGGTCGGCACTCCGAAGATGTAGTTCGTGGTGGTTTAGCAGCAGCGCCAACCCGCCAACGGGACTCGGGGAACGAACCTCGCCGCGGCGCTCCACTGTCATCTCCGGATTAATCAGTTTCCACTGGGCAGGAACACTTCTTCACATGAAGAATACCCGGAAAAAGGGCTCGGGCTAACAAATCTTCGATCTTCAATTCCTCCTCAACCACCCACTCCACCTCCCATACAACATCCACTCTTTCCATACCACTCATGGACTCAAAATAAGAGGACACCCAATCTCTACCCACTAGAACCGCATCGTTATCTAATCGATACAAAAAACCCTGCGGAGCTTCCACTCGGATACATAGACCCTTGACCCCCTCACCAACACCACACCTCGGCTATCCGCAACCTCCAAGACAGAACGCCGAGAATGTCTTCATCCACCTCTCAAGCAGACGCAAACCCTGCGCAGACGCAATCCGCCTCACCTGAGCACGCACAAACACCATCAACGAACAATCCCTCCACCACGACCACGACCACGACCAACCCCGCAGAGACCACCACGACCACCGCCAACCCCGCGAGCAACACAACATCTTCCACCCCACCATCCGCGCAAGCGGCCAACAACGACGACGATGATTCCGACTTCGACGAGCTAGACGGTCCGTTTCCCCCGATCTCCCATCCCATCCCAACTTTCTTTTTTGTTTTTTGTTCAATGTGTTTTAACAGAAAGCGGGGTAACCGAAAACAGACGTCCTCGATAACTTCAATAAACCCGCTACCTCGACCACGCAGCCCCCTTCTGCTTCCTCTGCCTCCTCCGCTAAAGATGCAACCGCCGCTACCGCCACGGACGATGTCGATCTCGACGAGGAAGCGTTCCTGAAGCAACTCGAGAAGGACATGGCGAATCTGATGGGCGCGGGGGCGGGTGGTGACGCCTCCGGGTCAATCCCCGAGGGTTTCGGCGATGAGGAGTCCCTCGACAAGGATGCGGAGATGTTCGCCAAGTTACTCGAGGAGGGTGGGGTGTCGGCGGAGGATTTTTTGAAGCAGTTGGTTGGGGATATGATGAAGGGGGAGGCAGGGAGTGGGAAGTCCAGTGGTAGTGGGAGCAGCGGTGGCAGCAAGAAGAAGAAGAGTAAGAGCAAGAAGAAGGGTAGCAGTGGTGTTAGCGGTGGTGGTGGCGCGACGGCCGGAGAAGCGTCCGCGACCAAGAGTGCAGCTGATGCAGCAACTGATGCAACTGCAACTGCTGCTGCTGCTGCGGCGACACCGGAGACCTTCAACGATACCATCCAACGGACGATCGAGCGGATGAAGGAGTCCGGCGACAAGGCGACGGCCGCGGCCGAGGAAGAAGACGGAGACGCGGATGACCTGGTGGCGCAGCTGATCAAGGCGATCGAGGCGGGCGCGGGCGCGGGGGGCGGCGACGGCGATGACGCCGACCTGACCAAGATGTTCCAGGGGATGATGGAGCAGCTGTCCAACAAGGAGATCCTGTACGAGCCGATGAAGGAGCTCAACACCAAGTTCGGCCCCTGGTTGGCCGAGAACAAGGCCGCCGGCAAGGTGTCCGGGGAGGAGCTGCAGCGCTACGAGAAGCAGGCCGCTGTCGTGGCGCAAATCGTCGCCAAGTTTGAGGATCAGGCGTACACGGATGAGGATCCCAAGTGTCGCGAGTATGTGTGGGAGAAGATGCAGGAGGTGAGTCCTCCCACACTTTTTGTTGTTCTTAAAACGATTGGCTTGTCCATGGGACCGGTTTGGAGACCTGATTGAACTGACTGACACTGACCCTTCTGGCGTCTAGATGCAAGCTTGTGGCAATCCTCCGGATGAGCTGATTCCGGCGCCTATGATGGAGGATCTCATGGGTGGAGGGGCCGGGGCTGGGGCCGGGCCCGGGGCTCCGGACTGTCCGCAGCAATAGAGCTCTGTTTCTTGTTCTCGCAATGTTGGATGCTGATGTTGTTTGATCGGATGTTATGATTGCCGTTCTTCTGGCATTTGTCTATGTCTTGTACATATATCCCTCTGTTTGCGCTCTCCTTAGACGTATGTCATGATGGTTTGATGTAGTGGCTAGCACCAGAAAGTAGTGACTCTGTGCGTAAAGGTCGTGAGAGGGGCCTAGCAAGTGCACATATAGCCATCATAGTCTCCCATAGTACGTCGCGCACCTATGCGTCATGCCATTGAGAGATCATACATTATATACCCAGAGGGTGCACGCAACCACCATCCATTGGTCCTATACCGTATATATACGAAACTCCCAATGCCAACCTCTCGCAAACGCCCAAGCAGATACAAGAAAACTCCATCAGACCCCGAAGTCGACCAGCGACATGCCGAGCCAGACAAAACCCCTAAAAGAATCACGACATATCCATCTCCTGACTATGCACAAACCCCACAAACCCCTTCATCCCCATCTCCCCCGCCAAGTCCGTAAAGATATCATCGTAATCCTCATCACTGAACGAGCCCGAGCCCCCGGCCTCAAACCCCCTCGCCACTCCCATCTCCTCAGCAGCAATGGCACCCCGCTCCTGCTCGATAAGATACTGATCCAGCGCATCCATCTCCGCCCCCTTGCTACTACCTTCACTTTCCTCCTCCTCGTCGTCTTCCACCAACCCATCCAACCCCAGCCCAAACTCACTCACCGCTGACCGCCGCATCGCCTCCCCCCACCGCTTCTGCTCCGCCACATGCTCCAGCAGCACCAGCTGCTCGCCGCGGTTCTCGAAGCGCCCGTCCGCGCGGTCCCGCTTGACGCGATTCAGGAACGCGTTGCGCCGGGTGTTGCGCGCCGCCGGCGAGGCGGAGGTGCCCGTGTAGGGTCTGGTGGTTCGGGCGGCGGCGTTGGTGAGCGGGTTGGCGATCTGGGCGGCGTAGCGGGTGGCGAAGCGGGAGGGGTTGTTGGGGGATGCGATCGGGCTTGTGGTTGTTGTCAAGTCGTTGGCGTCGGGGTGGAAGGAGAAGAGCGGGCCCGCAGCGGCCGCGGAGAATGGTTTGTGGACTGGCGATCCGAAGCAGGATGCTGATGATGGCGGGCCGGGTTGGAGTGGGGAGGAGGGGAGGAAGGTTGTTAATGGGGTGTCTGGGTCGGTGGGTGCGGTGGTGTTGGCTAGAGGGCTGGAGAAGAGGTTGCGGTTATTACTGCCGGTGTTGGGGGTGCTGGGTGTAGTCATTGTTGAGGGTGTGGAGGAGGAAGAGGAGAATGATGAAGACTGTTGGCGGCGAGGGGAGAGTGGTGAGGGACGCGTGGGTGTGCTGTAGTGCGAGTGCGAGTGCGAGTGCGTCCGGGCGAACGGTGTGGTTGCGGTGGTGTGGAATGGATTCGAAAATTGTTGTTGTTGCTGCTGCTGCTGCTGCTGCTGCTCTGGTTGCTGATATACAGGTTGCGTTGCGAGCATCATTGCGAATGAGGCGTTGTCGCGGAAAAGGAGGTGTAGAAGGACAGAAGCAGTGCAACTGTACTGTGCTCGGTAGTCGTGATGTGATCCCGCGGTATGAGCAGTGAGGTTTTGGGCTTGGTTCCGAGCGGTAGTCCCACTTTTTGGTCTGTGGTTGTGGACAGAGATAAGATCGGTTGTAGAAAATAGGAGGGATTCAGTGGATGATGTGCATCAATGGCGAGAAGGTGTTCTGGCGGTATTTACAGCGGTGTCTGTCGCTCTGAAGATAGTCCCAGCCACTGCGATAAGGCGAAATATTCGCATTTCGCATGCCGGATGGGAGATTCCCTCCCGCAACGCGTCCGCGTCAGACACGTAACCACGTGCTTGGAGTCTTCGTGCTTTGTGCCTCAGGCCACAAAAGGCAGTAACAAGGCAGACATGTCAGACATGTCAGCTCCGTCACAAATAGGAGGCGGTACTGTACCTAGTCAGCTTGAGGATCATGCTTCTTTACAGAAAAATTGATGATTATCAGGAATACACCCGGAAGAAACGCGTTCTTCCTCAGCCACAGGCTAGATACTTCAATCCACCTAGACAAGCTGAATTTGGGATTGAACCACCTGCAGCACAGCACTGTTTTTGAGTCGAATATCCAGTAATGGCCGTTCGGAGACACACTTTCCTGAAACGCATTCGATTCCTCTCAAAGCATCCCTAGGCGAAGTATAATGACGACATACTGCCGGACGGGAGATAAAACGTTACGCGCAGCGACCATCTGCAGGGGAATACGTAGTCGATCGATTGGTCATGAGACCGTCTACTGGACGCCCCCAAAGCAGCATATTGCATGATTCATGCTTCAGGAGGCGCCTTTCTAGTCAACGATCTACCGCAGATCCGGACAGGAACAAACTTAATACTTCTCAAACATTCGGTCAATTAAATACATACAATCAAAAGCTTTTTGTAGGCTGAGATCGAAGACCTGCAATCCAGAGAGCAAAGATAGTGAGACGCGAGGATGCCACTGTCCAGCGTCTCCTAGAATGAATCAAATGCTTCGAGGGGGGAATCAAAGTAAACAGAGACCAATCATGCTAGAACAAAATCCGCTGTGCTATGTCAAGGAGTGTAGTGTTTGTCGGAAAGAAGCGACACATAATCTATCAGAGAACGGAAAGGGTGATTCTTCAAATGTGAGACACATCAGAACAAAGAATTGGGTAACGATAAAAAATCAGACTCGAGGAATTCCTCGCCCACAAGCGCCATGAAAACTGCGTCATAATCGTACAAACTTTACAGTTCCGGAGGGAATATCCAGACCTTGTATCTTATCTGAGACAAGCAGATACAGAGACCGAACATCAGACCAGACTTAAAAGTTCGATGCCGCGTTCACCGGACCAGGGTTGTGATACTGGTCAAGCGTGGTCTTGAAGGGCGTTCCACCAGCACCGGGGCTGGGGGCCTTCTCGCGAACACCGGATCCGACGGCAGTACCGCTCATGAGGTCAGCAGCTTCGTCGTTGTCATGAGCAGCCTTGCGAGCATGGATTCTCCAGGCCACCACTGCGATGGCTCCAATGATGATCGCACCACCGACACCCACAACAACACCAATGATGATCTTCTTCTGAGACGACGAAAGACCGGAGCTGCCACTGGAACTGTTAGAAGAGGCTCCACTCAGGCTGGGAGAATCGGTCGCGCTGCTAGCCGGAGTGGAGGTAGTGGTGAGGGTGGTCTGCACAGGGGTTCCGCTGATGGTCTCGGTGGTGACGACGGTCTTAACAACAGGGGTAGCAGTGGTTTGGGCCGTGGTCTCGGCAGTGGTCGTAGAGCTATCTTTGCTGCTGCTGCTGCTGCTGTTGCTGTTGTTGTTGTTGTTATTGTTGTTGTTATTATTCGACGAGGTAGTAGTGGCGGAAGCAGCATTAGTAGTTTGAGCAGCGGTCGTATCTGCTGCTTTGGTTGTCCTGGCTGCTGGTTCCGTGGTACTCGTGGTCTCTGAGGTTGACGTAGTCGTGGGCTCAGTCTGACTGGTGGTGGAACTGGTGGTCTCTTTGGTGGATGAAGTCGACTCGGTTGAGGAGGTCGACTCGGACGATGCGGTAGTAGCAACCTCTGCGGTAGTAGCAGCCGCAGCAGAGGTGACAGCGTTCCCTACACCCGTGACCGCGGCGCTCTGGCCAGCGACGACGGCCACGAGGGAGAGGGAGTAAAGGAGGAACGAAAGACGAGCGGCTCGCATGATGAAAGCGGTTAGTTGGGAGTATCAAGTCACAAGTGAAGTGTTTCTCAAAGGCTTCCAGCGCCAAACGGACGGAGGTTGTGCGAGATGACTGTCAGACGAAAGGTAGATGGGTATATTGAGGTCAGATTTCCAACGCGACAAAAGCCCAGATGGGAGTAAGCGATCGTATCTGTAGTCGGGGGGAGTGTGTGGAGGATAAAGGCACCGATGAGATAGGTGTCTAAATGAAAATGGAGGGGTTAACGAGAGACTGCAGATGTAGAAGACACCCGAAGGGCACACACACGATACAATATGGGGTGGGTAAGAGAAAGAGCGTAAGGAGGTGCGGGATGGGGATTATTGAAAAAGGACTGGAGAGGGCGGGAGAAAAGGGAAGGGAAAGGTCAGTGAGTGGCAGTGGGGGGACGGGAAGGGAAGGATTGGACTGATCCGCTCTCTCCCTCTCTCTCTTTCTCTCGCTCACTCAGTAATCAGTCAGTCAGTCAGTCACTCACTTCACTGCACTTCAATCCTTTGCACAACCGTCCGGCCGCTGGAAGTCACCGGGGCCAGGCAATACAAAATCACCAATCGTAAACGCGTGCCCAGCCGTGGGCGCTCTCTAGTGTTGGCGCTAATGAGGCCCACTAACCAGTCAGCGGAAGCAATATGAGACAGATTGACCAGGGGGTGCACTGTATTTTGGAACATTTAGAACATTTTGTGCATTGTTAGCCCATTGTGAGCATTTTCAGGCGCCTGACTACGGGGCAGTGTCTTTGTTTGGGGCTTTGGAGGGGAGGTTGGGTCGGCAATACCACTTTTGATTCGTGGTCTTTCCACCGGCACACCCGAACCTCCTTCATGAATGGGTCTCACTCATACCCTAAGGCCGTTAGGATTATTATCGGTCTCCATATCCCGTACTACGAGTGTGTTGTGTACATACTGTGTAGAGTCAGGTAGACCACTAATTATGACTACCTAGGCTAGCACACTGCTTTTCTCACCCTTCCCTTTGCTCACTCTCCCCCTCTTCACTAGCCAAATTGATAGTGTGGGAGATCTTTATCCGATCTCTAACAAATTAATGAAGATTCCGCGACTATGGTTCGGTGATACTATTTTAAGGTCTGTACCGTGGATTTGACGTACCAACAATGACAGTACCACAGAACCTCATTCAGGTTCATCTCCAGTTCCTTTCTTACAGACCTCAGTAAGACGCAACATCCCAAACAATGCCATCAACCAACCCAGGTTTCTCTCCCTTCGACTTCATGTTTCGCCTGGGAGTCCCGCGTTCCTCCGCGTCGTGGGCAGTGGAGTAATTACTCAGTCAGTCCACATCATCCATCAGACCCTGTGGGATAGTGCAAAAAGGTACTGCAGAAAAAGGAATTTCTGATTGGCACTCGGTCTCGTGCCTGAGAGAAAATTTCGATTTAGACCCATCGACATATGCCGGTGCAGCCGACGGTGCTCCATAATCAGACTCTGTCTTTTCTTTTTGATTTTTCCCCTTCTTCTTGGGGAGTGGGAAGATCGCCTTAATCGCCCAACATAGTTTAGCGTGGCGAGACAGAGAGAACTGCAGGGGCAAGCCATCCCTTCTTGACCTACGGATATGTGTACTGTACTTGGATCACTAGGCGAGTGGTGTTATGCCGTTATCCGGAGTAGTTGGGATGCATACATATTATTGACTTGAGCTTTGTGCATCTCGAACGAGTCCATTGGTCGTCTCTACTTGTTTTGCGCCATCAATGTGTCTGGCCAGTCTGCCACGGACAATCAAATGGTCTGGACAATGTCGAAATGGCAAGCTTGCGTGTCGCACACAGTCGGGGCATGATCGGATGGGAAAAGCTTGGTCTTATCAGATCTCGTTGACACCTGAGTCCTCAAACAGACAGTTCACAGCTCTCCTCCGCCAGCTCTGATCCGTGATGTAAGGATGTCTCAGATGTAGACATGCGATACCCAGAGTGATATCATTCTAAGTCTACCCATTAGCATTGATTGTATCAGGCTGCTCAAACCCTGCAAGACCGTGCAGCGACAGCAGCAGAGTCGACTGCCAGGCTACTTGCATCAGCAATCCAACTATCATGCAATTTATCTCGCCTTCCAGTATGTCAGATGTAATCTGTATGAGAGCAACATGCTCGAATTGTTGCAAACCGTCCAAGCCTCGTTATCATCATGCAGATATCCTCGCCTCAATCCTCAAACAACCGCATGCTCCGGTTGACTTTCCCTTGCTACTATTTACTCATGTATGTATGTAGTATCCGACATTATGCCTCTCAAGCCGCATTGTCTCAATCCCGGATATCCCGACGAGCTACGGAACACGAGATACAGTATGCACAGATGCACAGTACCCGGCTGAGAATCACTCAATCCCCATCACAAGCCACTTGAATTCAGCCACTACCTGCAGAGGCGCACTGCGTACGATCAATCGGACAGATCACACTGTGCGATAAACAAGCCACCGCCAGGGCCTTCCAGACAGTAGTAGGACAGGACAGTCTGACAAACCACCTGATCCAACCCTCGTAAACACTCATCGCCCAAAGCTTAAGCGCAAAACCGATAGTTTACTAGCAGCCACCCGAGCGTTGCCACGAGGGAGGCAGTTGCCACGAAAGCGCAGCCACTCTCTGCTACTCTGCCACAGCGTCACTTCCCATCAGTATTGACTCACCGAATGTTTGTTGTCCGATGCTCACAATGATGACAATACCTGACCCGTCTAATCTACCCTTAGCATAATAAGCGCATGGACTTTTCTTTTGCTAATTGGCGGCCACACCTGCGATTAGGCTCGTAGACGTTCCCAAACTAAACTAATTTACGGGAAATGCAGTTGCACTCTGTATCTATCTCATACCCGTAAGTAATTCTGAAAATGGAAATAAATCACACCCTGCTGGGTTGGCCAACACACCAGGAGCAAAAGTAAACAGAGGGAAGGGGGGGGGGGGGAGACGAGGAAACCAGCTGGAAAAGGCCCAGCCCAGACCCCCTCGAGACCCTGCATGACACCTGGAGCGGTAAGTTGTGACCACGGACGGGGAGGCGACTGCTTCCGATTCAACCCAACTAAACAAACACACTCATACAACATGAGGCCACTTTCCAGTCCAATAATACGTACTCCATTCACTCATGAGACTTTTATCATCATCAAAACTATCTTTAACATGAGCTCTTCCATGATCGATTGGAAGGTGACTTCTCCGGAAGGAATTCAGGCTGTGACTTCCTCGTTTCCACAACATTCCGCGTCTCCTTCCCTCCCCCTCTCCCCCAATGCCTTTCCGGCTGATCGGCAGTGGGTGCCGGACAGGTTCTAGACTCCCTGTTGCACTTTTCACTGCCAGATTCCCCTCCCCCCCACTGGGGTAGGTGGTCGTCATCCAACGTGACTGGATTCTTGAGGGGGGTTACTCTATTGAGTACTGTACAGTCTGTACTGTATCTTCTTGTAGGGGTCTGGATTTGGAACCCTGAAGGGATGGGTGGGTGGGTAGGTGGGTGACGACTACGTGGAGCGGATGGAGCTTATGGTGCGTGGGTTTACACATATCTACCGGAGCGTGTGTGGGTTCGGCCTACGCGTGCGTGCGTATTTGGTTTGTGTGTGTGTGTGTGTGTGTTTATGCTGATGTTCTTGGAGACAAATCGGTCAAATGCCCGTTGATTTGTGTGCATTGGTTGTACTGTACCCGGCAGTCGGATGGAGAAGTGAGGAAGCTTGAATGCTTTGGAGGGCACCTCGGACAAATCCGCCTGGGTTGGTGGCTGATTCCATGCTGAGTCGTGGATGAGACTTCTTGGGGTTTGTGCTGGCCCTTGTGCGGTTTGCCCTGCTTTGCCTCGTGCATCTAGCGACTTTGCAGGTCTTGCTCGCACAGGCGGGCGTGCTGGCTGCGACATGGGCAAGGCTGGATGTCTGCGAGGTGGGGGGCATATAGTTGGACGCGTGAGGTCGTCTTGGATGACATATCTCTTCGGTCGATAAGTTTCTGAGATTGAATTGCTAGTGCGAAGACATGAGTCTCGGTGGTTCATGTCGCTAACAGTTGTGAGATTTTTACTCTCAGTTACAGATTTGAGCTGAATGGACGAGGCAGGCCGGCACCAAGCAAGAAACCGCAGAGCAACTAATAAAGCATAAACAGCCTGAATTGATGGGTATCATAGGGTTATATATTGGTTAACAAAGGCCTCCGCAGTTTCCGCAGTGTATTTCCAGATTGCTGATCAGTACTTCTCCGTGGGCTTTCCTTTGAATTGATTCTGGCACTCCTCCTTGAAGTATGCCCAGAACTTCCTCGGGGTAGAATCTAAGAAGGTTTCTGTTAGGATCACCAATTCCCAGTTATGTGTTTCCAGACTATACACAGATGGCAGCCATATCTGTGTGTGTGTGGTTTGGCATACCAGGGTTTGAGAGACGGCCGGAGCCGCTGATCCGGGGCGTCTCTGGCGGAGGCACGCCGTGTTTCACACGTTCAACTTGTTCATGGACCTTCCCAACGACGCGGTGAAACGTCCGGCTGGAGAGCAGCTTTTTGTCATAAGGGGCGACTTGGTCAGTCTTTAAGGTTTCGCAGTGGACGGCCGTCGTTGACAAACCTGACGAACGAGCAGCGTCTGAGAGAGGGAAAAGTGCATTAGCATTAGGCTGCTGTGCGATGAAGGAACGAGAGAGAGGAATCCATTATGCCCAAAGACACACCTCCAACGCTTGGAGTCCAAGCATCCGGAAGACCATCCTGCAATGAATACTCCGGAAATTCAGTCGACCGTCTATTGTCTACCGGCGAAAAACCAATAGCAGCACTGTCGATGACAGTGTAGTCAGTGGTTGCATAAACAGGTGGCGGTTATGGCTACGGAGGTGGGAACACACTTGTGGTGCTGAGAGAGGGAGCGGAGATTAGAGCGAGTCCGAGAAGAGAGATTACCTAAGGGTCCCGTCGGACTTGGTGCTTGACTTGACTGCAGGGCCAATGACAGCCACAGCCGAGACTGAGCAAGCAAACAGCAGCCCGGGACCAATCAGAAACTAAAACGTCTCCGGCGCGGGATGGGAGCCTTTACAAGAATGCATCTCCGATCGTGAATGGAGATTGTCACAGATGAATTACATACTAGATGAATTTTTGACTCCCTCATCAAGGTACGGAGTAAATCGACGAAGGGAAATCTTGAATCGCCTGTCGGAGCTGATCTCCTGATTACATCACCGTTGTTCTTGTCCCGAGGCCAACCAAGCATTTCAAGGTCCTTTGGAATACCTTATGCATGCCCATCTCCGGATTGCCAGGACCAGCTATGAATCCCATTGTAATGATTAGTCCAATACCGTTAGTTTTATACCAGATCGATCCTGCCGCGGTCACTGGAAAAAATTCTCTCGTCTGTGTGGATGTTGGCTTTGAGATTCAAGGACATCTTGACGAGCTATACTTCCTCTTCGCATTCTTGCTCTGTTTTAACTCGCTCTGTTTCTCTCTTTCCTCCCGACTAAAAGTCATCGGACGGGTGGCCACGTCCTCTGGCAGTGCGGGGAGTGCAGCTTCGAAATAGCGCCGCGAGGGGAATCTCCGTGAGGGCAAGTGAAAGAGAGAGAGAGAGAGAGAGAAAAAATTGCTCCTCTGGCCTTGGCCCAAGTTCAAGCATTCTCCCCCTTTCTCGTTGTGATATGGTGTGGCATTTTTATCATCGTCAAGGAAATAAATATAGCAGAAGAATTTCACCAGCCACGATCTTTGCCACCTGAATTGAACTCATAATCTCAATCAACCCCTCCGAGATCCCTCAGGGCTACCTACCCTTACCGAGATTATTTTGTCCAACTACCTACCGGTACATACATACGTTCAGACTGTTGGGTGCAGTAACGCCAGTCCGATTTGGTTGAAAACCAAAACGATTAGTCCGTCGGACGAGTCAGCCTGGCTGACGTTACACTTCGTGCGCGCCTTGTCCCCGTGAGATCGAGAAATCTGGCCAAGCACATTGCCGTGTCGAGGGGCAGCTTCCACAGCTGTCCCGATCTGTCAACGCTTCAGATATCCCCCTCATCATCCCTGCTGCTGCCACACCACGACGCCGCCGCCGCCCCCAACGACTACGAGGCCTCTGTCAACCCTACCACCACCACCACCACCGCCCCAACCTCCCGTTCTCCTTCTCCCCATAGTACTGCCAGTCTCCGCAACGGTCCTCGTACACTTGCAGCCACCAGAAAGCGGGTCTCCAAAAAGGCGCGCGGCGTCCTGGGTAAGGTTCGGGCCTTCCAGAGGATCGCTGCGGCCAAGATGGCGCATCCCTCCATTAAAATCGACACGAGCGTCCAGTCTACCAAGCGCGCTCTCCCCGAGGACACTGAGGCAGGTTTGGAGATTGCATGCGGCATTGATGACGCTCCAGCGTTGGACGCTGGCGATCATGATTCCGTGCCGCCGTTCCTCTGTCAGTCGGTCGTAGGTCCGTTTGCGCCCGCTTTCTCTACCCCTCCCACCATGCGCTTGCTGCTTGCTATCTTCACTCTCCATCTCATGCGCTGGTTCTTCGACTAATACTTTCCTTGCTGGTATCGCAGAAATTCATAACAAATTCGAAGAGCTTGAATGGATGCAACGGACGCGGCTTCTGGAGGGCACGCAGGCCAACGACCCCTCACACCGATGGGCACTAGAGGCAGATCCGGAAGTTCGAGCAAGGAACCGATATATGAACGTCCAGGCATGGGCCAACTCCCGCATTCACTTGCGCGTCCCTGAAGGTGAATGCGATTTCATCAACGCGTCGCCGATCGTCCTTCAGGATTCAGTGTCGCAGCAGGCGAGGAGGTATATTGCGACCCAGGTAAGCGGGGGACATACGCACAGGACACTTCAGCGTGCTCTACTAATCGGTTATGGACAAATAGGGCCCGAAGCTTGGCCATGTCGCCCACTTCTGGCAGATGGTGTTCCATGAGAGCAAGGACGTTGGGGTAGTCGTCATGCTCACGCAGACCTTCGAGTCCGGGCGCGAGAAGTGCTCGCAGTATTTCCCCCTCAACACTGAAAACCCTTCCATGCCTCTGCGGAAAGTCGAGTCCGATCAGTATGCAAGCGACGACGATCAGCACAGCAGCGGCGAACTTTTGGGGGAAGTCACACTTTTGGAGACCTCGTGGGATCCCGCGTCGCGGTCTGAAATCCGAAAGCTTCAGCTCACCTTCGGCGGCGAGTCCAAGACCGTGTGGCACTTCTTATTCGCTGGCTGGGCCGATTACTCCAAACCCGAGGGCGAAGATCGGGATGCGCTGTTGCAGTTGATCAAACTGTCCGACTCGAAGAGCGCGCTGGACAATCCACGCATCGTGCACTGCAGCGCCGGCGTGGGCCGCACCGGCACCTTCATCGCGCTCGACCACCTGCTGCAGGAACTCGAATCGGGCCAGCTGCTGGAGGCCGTGGATCCGGAGATCGACCCCGTCTTCGAGACGGTCAACCAGATGCGCGAGCAGCGAATGATGATGGTCTACAATGAGATGCAGCTGCAGTTTATATACGAGGTCCTGCGCGAGCAGACCGATCTGAAATTGGGCAAGGCCCCCGGACGCAAGTCGGACGAGCGGTCCACCAAGATGGCCAAGTTGTCCAACAAGGCCAACTACCTCACCAACTACCACGTTTCCTCCAAACCGGAGTTGGAGCCGTCAACACCGACGCGTAGCTGGTCGGGGACACCGGAGGTGTCTGATAATGAATGAGCGGTCCCTGGCGCGAGATTCCCAGCCTCTATAATCTTCACCTATAATTTTCTCCAGTACATATTTTTATTCTACTCTAATCGCTATATTTACTTGCTCACTCTGTGGATTCCGACGCTTGCTGCAGTTGTGTTCGTCTCTACCTTCTGTTCTATATTTATAGTCACGATGAATAGCTTATGAATTGTCCATTGCCATCCCCTCTTATATCCCCTGCCTGTCCATGTGCTTATCTCATTTGATGTATTGTCTAGGCCATGTCGCCTTTTATGACCGGGTTTGGCGATATTATATCAACGGCTGTGTGACTTCGAAGTATCCACAAATCTTGTTCATTTCTCTTCCCCAAATATTTTCTACATACCTATTAGGACTGTGACTCGTGCTGCATGTCCAGCCTTATTATGATTTTGCCTCCCTGCTCCACTGCCAGATAGATCTACTCACCTACTTCCATGATCCTCCATCCAATTCACGATACTTATAGCATGGCTCAAGACCAGCACACTAATCTCTTTTCTGCATGCCCGATGGAGACCATAAAGACAGCACCCTGAACTTTTATAATCCCCCGTAAGCCCCTCCCCTAAGAAACAAAAAGCTTAAACCAGGCTCCCCACTCCCCTGCACAATCCAGACCAGAGAACCAAACCCTGAAAAGGAAGGGGGTAGGTAGCGTAGGGTGCGATGGAAGTGCTTCAGATGAACCACAATCCACAATCCACATGCATGCAATTCCCATCAAGCAGGTGATGTTTTCTCTTGCCCTTGAAGATGCAGCCCCCCGCCTCCGCGCTCCAGGGCTCTCTACCTCTCTACCTCCCTACCTCCCTTCCTCTCTGGTAACTCACGCACGAAAGCACACTCCGCTTCGTAACAGTTCCCTGCGTACAAGACACATTTACAAGAATCACGGGCGAAGGCAAACGCACTGGTAGGAGGGCGGAAAGCAAAGATCAAACAAGCTCAATGGAGGGTCATGACGTGTTTTGTGGCATGATCGTTCATGTCATGTCATGTTCATGTCCATGTTCATATTTATATTCATGAGGAGAAGGAGAGGGAAATGGGGGTGATAGTTATATAGGACAAATATAGGGTACGGATATGGCCGGTGTGACGGTGGGATTTGGGAAGTTTTGAGGGAAGATTTTGCGTAGTCGCTGGATAGATTTGGTGGAGGCTGATCGTTACGCATGTCGTTCTGATGAGGGCGAGTGGTCGGTCTACCTGGGTGAAGGTTCCAGTTGCAAGACCTCCCGGCACGAGTACTGAATTCGGGAGGGATGAGTGAGGGACGAGTGAGGGAGAGGGCAGAAAAGTTTAGATGGGGAAACTGATCGATTGACTGAGGAAGTTGATGAAAGGAAGAGACATCACACAATTATATGATCAATCAGTTTCAGTCAACCCAACCAACCAACCCATGCCAATCACCCGATCAATGGAAATCAATCAATCACTCCGTTTCTTCCCATCCCCCGCCTCCCCGACGGTTCCGCCCAGCTCGTCCGGCCCATCCTCCGTATCCCAGTTGTCCACGGCGTTCTCGTCCCAGTTGTCCACCTCCTGCTCCAGGTTCAGCACGCCGGTCTCCTGCGGGCCGAGGCCGTCGTGGTCATCCTGGTGGTGGCCCCCGGTCAGACCCAGCTCGACGTCGTCATCGTCGGCGCCGTCGCCGCCGCCGAGGCTGCCGAAGCGGGCCTTGCGGCGCCGGTCAAGCATGCGGCGGTGGTACCAGCTGCACAGGCCGACGGCGCCCAGGCTGCCGACGATGTTGGCGAGGAGGTCGAAGGGATCGAAGGTGCGGCCGTTGGGGAGCAGGCCCTGGACGATCTCGGAGCCGATGCCCAGGACGAGGGTGCACACGACCAGGGTCAGATGCAGGGTGCGGCGGCGCGAGGTGTCCGGGATCCAGTAGAAGACGAGCGAGAGGAGGAAGAAGGTCAAGACGTGCAGGAGTTTGTCATTGGGTTGCAGTTGCGACGGTATGCTGGACGAGTCGCTGTGGGGGAGGAGGCCGATGTAGGCGGCGAGAATGAGGAGGAAGACGAAGGCGCCTGTTTCGTGGTGGATTGGGTTAGCATGGCTGAAATAGATAGATGCATGGAGTGGAGTGACTAGGCAAATGTTGAAGTCCCGACTATCTCCGGATCACTTTGTGGGTGGTGGATCGAGATAGCTTGGGAAATTCAACGGCATGTTTGCCCGGATCGGGATGTGGGAGAGAGCAATCGATAAGAAGATAGAATGGGGGAAGAGGGCAAATACTCACCCGCAAAAGGATAGCGGATTCGCATGATGAGGAGAAGTAGGGAGGTAGAGGATCAAGCAAAAATGGTGGACAGCGACCCGAGCTGGCTGGGAGGAAGCACGGAGGTTGACGGAGTGGTGGTGATGATTGATAGACAACTTGAAGTTCGCTAACTGCCGAACTGGTGATGCAGTTCCGAGAACGTCATGTGCTCCAGCTTGCCTGCTTGCTTGCTTGCCATACAGTCTCCGTATTCGGTGACGATACGGTAAGGTTAGATCAGGCCGTCAGGCATCCAATCCCGTTGCTTTCTGGCAGTTGCTGTTACTGCTGTTACTTCTGTTAGTTACTTTCCCATCCATCCTCAATTGCTTGCTTGCTTGCTTCAACACTTCTTTCCTCTTGACCCAAATAGCATCACAGACAGTCAATGATACAGAACACACACTTATACATTTCCCACAGCTGTTGACATTCTCTCTTTGTGTTTTGATTCATTGACCTGTCTACTATATCATTATCCTTATCCCTCCCTCCCGTGAACAGCTTAGTATCAGAACTGCGCGGTTGGTCTAAACCTGCGGCGGCCGCCGTTCCGCCTTTCACGGCTGCTGGAACCTCACCTCATCCCGTTCGCGCAGAGAACCTCGTAACTGTACGGCAGGCGCCCTTTGCTTTCTTCCATCAAATTTCGCGACCCTGCCATCACTTTTGGCTCTTGTTTCATCGTCCTTCGCTTCTTCGCGCTCGTTTTTGAATCTCTATGTCGTTTTCCGCCGGTCTCCCCGCCCCGTTCTTCCCTCGCCGGACTTGATATTCCCCCCAGCCGTGGAGAAACGAGCAGCAGCAGCCCCCCCCCTCGCCCGCGCCCCCAGAATCGGGGTTTTGGAGCGAGCATGTCGCTCGGCCACCACCACGCCTGGCTACCCCCGGGCCATCTGCGCCCTCCCGACGACCTTCATGATGCGCGGTCGGCCAATGGCTATTCCAGATCTTTTTCCGGGGCTCGCACCCCCCAGTTGCGCGCTTCGGCCGATGCCGACGGCCTGCACGCGGGAACTTTCATATCCGATGCTGATCTGGCACCCGACGATGACCCACGTATCGCCATGTTTCGGGACTTGTACAAGCGCAGCGAGGCGCAAATCAACGATCTTTTCGCCAACCAGAAATCCGCCGAGGAGGCCGCCCGCAGCGCGGTCGCCGATGCGGAGGAGACTCAGACTAAGAGCCAACGCGCCGACGAGTCAGCTCCGCCTCCCGCACCCGCCAAGAAACCCGCGAGGAAACTCGACGATGACGACTACGACGACTACGACGACGACGACGACGACGATGACGATGATGAGGCCCCATCCCCTCCCAAACCCAAGTCCCTCGGCACATCTCACGACCCGAGCGGTCTCCCGTCGCCCAGTCGGCCCTCCAGCGGCTCCGTGTCGGCCGTCATCGAAGCGCGAAAGGAAACTAAGAAAGAAACCTTGGAGGATATCCGCAAAAAGCTAGAACAAGATAAGAAGGCTACCGAGGAGGCCGCGAAACGGAGCTTCCATACCCTCTTTTATACCCTAGAAAATGATAGAGATGCCATGCTGGACCAGCAGCGACTGGAAGAGTCAGAGCGCCAAGTCGAGGCGGAGATGTCGGGCCAGGCCAATGCAGGCAACAACCCCAATTCCAACTCCAATGGGTACGGCTCGCTGAGTAGCGCCAACCTGGGCGCCTCAAGCCTGACCCTCAAGAATCTGATCGCGCGCATTGACATGAAGCGCACCATGGTGCAAGCTTCGGATGCAGAGCTGCGCAGCCTGATGAGCGAAGTTCGGAAGAATCGAAGCAAGTGGGCCAGTGAGGACAAGATCGGTCAAGAAGAGCTCTATGAGGCCGCCGAGAAGGTCCTCAGTGAACTCAAGGCCATGACAGAACACTCGACGGCGTTTTTGACCCGTGTCAACAAGCGCGATGCGCCTGACTACTACACGAGTAAGAACCCTCTGCTGTCCTGCGAACGGATCGCCGCTCTCAAATATGCTAACCCCTATTGCAGTTATCAAGCACCCCATGGACCTTGGCACTATGACTAAGAAGCTCAAAGCCCTGCAGTATAAGTCGAAGCAGGAATTCGTTGACGATATCAACCTAATATGGTCCAATTGTTTCAAGTACAACACTAACCCCGAGCACTTCTTGCGTAAACATGCATTGTATATGAAGAAAGAAACTGAGAAGCTCGTTCCCCTCATCCCGGAGATTGTCATTAGAGATCGGGCTGAGGTGGAAGCAGAAGAGCGGAGGCTCCAGCTCGCCGAGATGGATGGCGCAGATGAGAGCGACGATGAGCCCATCATGTCGTCCCGAGGAAGGAAGGCGCCTGGCAAGTCATCGAAGAAGGGAGCTGCTCCTGTGCGGAATACCCCCAGCGGATCGGAACCTCCTGCGGGTCAATCCTCTCAACCACCTGCGCCTGTACGGTCGGATTCAGACACCGCGATGGAAGGCACCCAGAACGGCTTTCCCACGCCGCCTCCCGGGGGAACGCAAACCCCATCGGATCCTGCTGGTGTTGGCGCCGGTGTCCAAGGAAGCCAGGGTGATGCCATGGAGATTGATGGGTTAATACCTTCGAACAACAATATCCTGACCGCCTTACCGGCGTCTGGCGTGGAGTCGGAGGACCCCGAGTATAAGGTCTGGAAACAGGTTACGAAAAAAGATCGTGCTGTCATTGCCGCGGAGCGACATCGCCTGTTCAAGGGCGACAAACTCAACTCCGAGGAGCCGGCCCTGCTTAGGACCAAGGCTGGCATGAGACGGTGGCTGAGAAACCAGATGCAGATCAATGCCGAGGGCGACAAAGCCCGCGAGTCGACCGCGCAGGGTATGGACCCTGGTGCAGCGGGTGAGACCCTAGCCGAAGGAATCGAGGTGGACGAGGATCGAGTGATTCCTGATTATTACGACGTAATGTCGGGCGTCCCTGACTTGCCTCCACATTTGTCTTGGAAGGAAGACTCCGATGGCAACATTGTGGATGCCTCTGAAGAATTCTTGCGCGTGCTGCCGTCAGGGTCTTTTACTCAACCGGACAGCAAACTTTCCCGCAAGATGGATGCGAACATGCGTCAAATGCAGGAGACCCGGAAGGTGTGCTCGAAGATCGGCATTGTTAAGCAGATGCAGCTGCAATCTCAGGTGAGTAACCCTTAAGACTTTACAAAGATCACGGGTCCTGATGCGCAGCAGATGTACCAAAACCAGTTCCAGAAATATCAGCCTGAACCGTTTGTTGAACACGATGTTCCCGCGCATGTGATGAATGACGGGGGCCCGGTCATTTCTCCGTGGGTTTGCAAAGCAGCCCTGCAGCGCTCAGTAGCGAAGATATTCTATCACACCGGTTTCGAAGAGTATCAGCCGTCAGCTCTAGACGCAGTTACCGACATCGCCTCGGATTTTTTTCAGAAGATTGGAGAGACTTTGAAGTCATACATGGAAACACCAAAGCTTCCTGCGACCGAGTCTCCAGAACCGAACACAGCGCCGCAATGGAAACGAGCATATACGGAACCGGAAATGGTCCTCCATACGCTCTCATCTGTTGGTGTCGATGTGGAAAGCCTTGAGTCTTACATCAAGGACGACGTCGAACGTCTCGGGACTAAGCTTTCAACAGCCCATGATCGTCTTCGGTCGTTGCTATCCGAGCTTCTGCGACCTGCCCTTGCGGATGGCGGCGAAGATGGCTCCAGTGCCTTTCAAGACGGAAGCGAGCAGTTCATTGGCGGTGACTTCGCCGAAGATATTGATGAAGACTTCTTCGGATTCAAGGAGTTGGGGCTGGACAGAGAGTTTGGGCTGGCTACCCTTAGTGTTCCGCTTCATCTTCTGCAGAATAGGATGTACAATGCTGCCCAGGCCCAGAACACAAGGTGCGTGTTTTTTCACTTCTCCCCAACTGAGACACTCATGCTGACATTGTCATCAGTGCTGCACAAGCTGTCACGCTCTTTCCCCCGCCTCCCGCTTACCCTCGCATCACGTCTGAGACATTGCCTTCGCAAATTGGTCTGGTACAAGGGTTCCTTGGTGCCAAGTTGAAGACCAGTAACAGCGAGTCTTTAGTCGAGGATCTGGAGCTTCCTCCGAAACAACGACCTACGGCCGCCCGACCTCGTCTTCCTGCATCCGGCAAAATCCAGCCACCTGCAGCAGCTTCCGGTCTCACCACCAGCCCCCAGAAGCGACCTCTTCCCCCCTTTGCTGCAGGCCAACAACCCGCCTCCAAACTCGGGATGTCGGAACCCAGTAAGAAGAAAGTCAAGAAAAACAGCGGGGCCAGCATCGGGGCTTCTGATTCTGTTGTAGAAGGAGAGGAGTCATTGCCGGGTGTGGATGGCACGAAAGCTTCAGCCACCACAGCTGTCAAGCCCAATACCGCTGATGAGCCTTCTGTGGATGCCACTTCTGACCTAAGTGGCAAAGGGGACATGGATACTGGGCCTGATGGCGTTGGCGCGGAAAGCGTCGACAATGCTGCACCACTGACGAACGGAACGGTGGCTGGTGATGCGTCATGAATTGTTATGATGATCATTGTATAAGACCCTCCTTGAGTGGTCTCTCGTTCAACCTTTTTTCTGGGCTCGGGTGATTGGCGGGTGGGCACAAGGTCGGTTTTGGAGATTATTTGTAACTGTAGCGTTTGCCATTTTCACTTCTCGTCCTTTTCTCCTTACCTCTTTACTATTATACCTGGCATGGTGGACCCTTTTCCCTTCGTGATTTGTCTTCTTTCTTGAGTATATCTTTCACCTTGACATCTGACAGCATCGCTCTGTCAATCCTCTTTTCCTTTTCTTTCTCTGCTTCCCCGTCCTTTTTGTGATTCTTGGCTGTGCTCAGTGTGCGATAGGCGCGTGTTTTCTTTTTCTTTACTCCAGAAGACTGGAGTGTGAGAGTGCAGCAAAGGCAACGGAGGGACCAGCGAATCTAAATCTAAAAAGTGAATCCAAACATCTTTTTCAAGGAACGAGACCTGTGCACACC